TTATTCCACTGAGCCATCTCCCCGGCCCCAAGAATTTTATATAGGTTAATTATCCAGTCTCTTCTGTATCATTATTACCATTTTATGGATGCAAAAATTGGGGCATAGAAAAATCCCAGGTAGTCACTCAAATTCAAACACTCAAAAAACACGTCAGAATTTATGTGATATAAGTAGCCCAAGTTCTCACTTGTGATGTGAGAATCAGGAGGGTAACAATGATAGATCACTGATTGTGGTGGCACAGGCCTGTAATCCCAGCACTTGGGAGGCTGAGGCAGGAGGGTCACCATGAGTTCAAGGCCAGGCTGAACTACATATGGAGACCTTATCTCCAACACCCAGTCCCCAAAATAATTAATAAATGGTATTTCATTCTAAACTATAAAAAGTAATAAATGTTGTGGAAATGCAGTCCCCTGTGTTCCCGAGGGAGGGGAAGCCCCAAGACCTGGCCGCAGGGAAGGCAGCAGGAAGAATGCGTATGGAGCATGTCCCTGACTGGTGGCCTTCCTGATCATTAGAGATGTGCGTATTCCTATCTTGTTCCCTAAGCAATCAAGTTGGAATAGTGCTCCACACTCTGGCCCAACTGAGAGAGACAAGGCCATCTGCTCTACATGGTCCAAGAGCTGAGCCTTTCTTTGCGGAGTCAAAGGAGAGCTGGCACCTGGATGTTTCTGTGAGGGCAGCTTGAGGCCACTGGAGAAGCTGCTGTAGATACGAGGGTGAGTCTCATCACCTAGATTGCCAGCATTTTGTTCCAAATTTCAAAGGGAGTTAAATGGATGGCACAAGAATGACCACATTGTCACATATACACATGTGTGTGTGTTTATAGATCCACGTCATGCATCAGAGAGCTCATGGCCATGCACACCTTGCAGCTGCACATGCTGGGTCTGCATGGTGCATGCTCTGCTCTTAGCAAGCGTTCCTGCCCACCAGAATATGCACGGATCATGCCCACAGGGATGAAAGCACAGGAGCTGAAGAAGAGAGGAAGTCACTGGGTTCTCTCCAGGTCCAGATCCAGGTCCAGTACCTTGAAGTAAATGGTGTTAACCAGCACCAGAACAGTGAATTCGTCAATGGTTCCCTGGGGAATGACGTTGGTGATCCTGCCTTCCGTCTTGTTGGCTACCCATTTGTTGATGGTCTCTCTCGACTGCTCTGCTTTTGCCTGAGGGGAAAGAGAAAGCAACGCTGCCCACCTGTGCTAGTCCACTGACTTCTCTTTTCCCTGCAGCATCTGATTTCTTCCTCACCCCCCTTCTCTTTCCACCAATTGGTTAAGAAGCGATCACTTTAACCAAAACTGAGGAAACCTCATAAGTCTAATATAGTACTGTTGATTTTTATGTAGTTAATAAATATAAAGCAAAGAATAAGAGATAAAGAAATAGAAAAGAAAAAGGGCTCAATAGTGTCCCAAATTTTCTGATCAAGGAGATTATAGGGCCAAAGAGGAAAGTGATCAATGATGTAGAGTGTGCCTAAGGAGAGTCACATGGAGAGAAAACATTCTCTCAGGCTTTCACAGAGAGCACATTGGCCAAGCAATGGCCGTGACTCATCCACATGGCTGACACTGACGAAGGATCTACAATCTGAGGTACAGAATCTCAGGATAAATCCTGAGGGGATTTGACTGACCTTATCAGATCCAAAAGCTACAACTCTTGTTGCATAGGTCCTGCTTTACCTTGATCTTAACCATCCAGCAGAAAAGTATAAAAACAAAATATAAGAAGTAAAGCAAAAAAAAAGAAAGAAAGAAAGAAAGAAAGGAGGAAAGAAAGAAAGAAAGAAAGAAAGAAAGAAAGAGAAAGAAAGAAAGAAAGAAAGAAAGAAAGAAAGAAAGAAAGAAAGAAAGAAAGCCATTTCTCAATAAAATTAGGGGGGAAAAAAAAAAGGAAAGCCATGGTGTTATGTTGAGCTGTAGGGGACTCAGGTCAACAATTTCTGACATTGCCAGTCAAGCGGAAGACCCATTACTATTATAGACTACTGGACTCTTTTAGAATATTTTGCTGAGTTAACTCACCTGTAATATTCAAATGATGGAACTAAACAAAAAAGGGGATACAGATGAATGTCCATTTTGTATCTGTGTATTCAAAATGGTTAGGATAGATACATAGTTACATTCTCTTAATGAATAGAGGGATTTGTTCTAATAGTGTATGTAAATAGGATATCATGTCTGCATCTTGTACAGCAAATAACCACTAGGAAGAATGTATGCAATGTGTAAATTATTGAAAGTGTCCTACCAATTTGATTTGAAACTGTCTCATTGCTATTTTTTTCTCAATAAAATTATGGGAAAACCCACTAAATGCAAAGTAGTAGAATCAAAAAAAAAATGATGAGAAATAAGAAAAGAAAAAGAAAAAGGGAGTCAGAGAGACAGCTCAATGTGTAAGTGCCTGCCTGGCAAGCATAAGGTCCTGGGTTTGATCCATGATACTGCAAACAAAATAAATAAATTTAAAAATAAAAATGATGTTAATTTAAAAAGAAACAGGGAGAAAAGTCTTTTTAAAAGAAGCTAAATTTTGGGTGTGTTGGCACATGCCTGTAATTCTAGCATTCTGGAAGGCTGAAATAGGAAGATCGTAAATTCTGGCTCAGCCTGGAATGGGCACAATGGGCACATTGGCAATTTAGAAAGACCCTGTCTCAAAACATAGAAGAGGGCCAGCCAGATAGCTCAGTGGATTAAAGTGCCTGTTTAGGGTGCAGGGACTGGAGTTCGATCCCGGACTTGCCATGCAGCCCTGTCCTGAGGGTGCATTGAGATGGCAACTGAGACTGGGCATGGTGGTGTGTACCTGTAATCCCAGCACTTGGGAGGTTGAAAACAGGAGGATCACTATGAGTCCAAGCTGTGTAGTGAGACCCTGTAGACCCTATACTAAATACATAAGGAAAAAAAAAAAAAAAAAAAGAGCTAGAGGTAAAGCTCAGTGCAAAGTCCCAGGTTCAATTCTCAATACGGGAGGGAGGGGGATGTTGTTTTCTGACTTTCTGAATTCAGAATGTCTGAACTCACAAGAGTTTCCAAAAACATGCTCTATAGAAATCAGTGAGTGGATGGCAGGGGTTAAAAGGGGAGGAGGAGCAGGGAAGTGCCTGTGTGCTCAAATAAATTTGAGAAACTGGCTGAATAGCGCTAGTATCTCTCCCTTTTGCAGAACTCAGACCTCTTCTTAATGGATTCATGTGCTTCATGAAGCCCCACAAGCTGGACACAGCATGCACCATATACCACCTTTATGTGACTCAGCAACTGTTCACACTGATTAAGTTCTCCTGTAGGCCTTTGTTATATATCTGAACTAGGTGGGTGAATGAAGGCCTGGTATTTATTCAGCTTCATAAGAGCACTGTCTGCAATTGAAGCTGTCCATACCATTGACTCCTGAGGTTTCCTGAAGAGTTGGCATCCAGGGCTGTGGCTCATGGCCAGCCCTGCCCTGGTCTTCAGCTGGCAGGGCAGTGTTAACTGGGACCCTCTCTCCGTCTCACTTGCCAGGTGCATGGGAAGAGCTCAGAGATGAGAGGTGGCGCCTGAAACTCACCTTGAAGTCTAGGGGCTGGAGCTTGGCACCATAGACCACCTCGCTGATGTCCTGGTAGGTCTCATTGAAGGTCAGGGATTTGTCTCCAAAAAGGCGGTTGGCCGATACTAACTTGGAGGATTTGTTGGCTTTTCGATAGAGTCGACAGTTGAGTTTGGCAAAGAAGAAGTGGATCTGATCAGATGTTTTCTCGGAAATGGTATCGAACTTAAAAACCTGTGGAAGCCAAAAGAAAATGGTGGTGGGTGTGGTGGGGCAGCCCAGGTGGCCCAGGGGTGAGCGGAGCACATGAGCTCTAGCTCCTGCAAGCACAGTGCCTGGCTCACACTTGAGCATGAGTACACGGATTAAAGAGAAGACAGGGCAGGAAGCACAAAAGGAAAAGGAAGGACAGCAAGACCAGGCTGCCATCCAAGCTCGAAGGGCTCCACTTTCCTAATGGAACAGGAAAAGTCCTCTTGGTACTGGGGACAGAGAGGGGACTGCACTTGCATATTTCCTCGTAGTAGCACCTTCCTGGCATCTACAGGGGCAGCTGTTCTTGGAGCATGGAAATACGAGCTGTGGTAGGGCTGGGCCAGAAAGCAGCAGCTCCCTTACCCAGGAAATAAACAGGCCTGGAACCAGTGTCAGAGCTGAAAGGGACTGGAGGTCATCTGTGCCCGTCAGAGCTGTGGGAGCTGTCACCCCAACCCTCTGTCACCCTCCACGCAGAACAGTGAGGTTGTCCTCCCCAGCCCTTCCAAGCTCTGTATCAAGGTACCAAAGGCATTTTGATTTTATCTGCTCTCTGATTTTGATTTTCCTGATTTTGTGTCAGTATGCAATTTTTTAAAAACCATGATAGCTAGATATTATGGCACACTCTTGTAATTCCAGCACTTGGGAGACTGAGGCAGGACTGCCATGAGTTTGAGGCCACCCTGAACTACATAGTAATTCTCTGTCTCAAGAACCAAAACTATGGGGCCAGGGAGATGGCTCAGTAGAATAAGCGCTTCCTTGGCAAGCGCAAGGGCCTGAGTTTAATCCCCAGTTCCACAAAAAATAAATAAATAAATAAAAGAACCAAAACTAAAACCAAACAAAACCCCATGCTTTGTCTTTTTTTTTTTTTTTTTTTTTTTTTTTTTTTTTTTTTTTTTTTTTTTTTTGTATTTTAGGAAAGAGTCTACAGGGTGTTCAGGGTCTCACTACTAGATTGTAAACAAGTGATCCACTTGTTTACAGCCTCCCAAGAGCTGGGATTACAGGCACACGCACCACCATGCCCAGTCTCAATTGCTGTTTCAGTGCACCCTAGGGGCGGAACCGGCACAGCAGGCCACAGAGGATCAAACCCCTGGCCCCTGTGCCCACTTGCAGGTGCTTTAATCCACTGGGCTATTTGGCCAGCCCAAAACCCTGTGTTTTGACTAAAAGCTTGATGCTGAGTTTCATTTCCAGAGTCCCACGAATTTTCTAATATATGACAGAGAATAGTGGCTTGAAAATGTTCGGTTTTCTTGTTATGTTGTTTGTTTTTTGTCCTGCTGGGGATCAAACCCTTTGCATTACTAGGCACATTCTACCACTGGATACACCCCAGCTCTGTTTCTGTCCTTTTTATAAAGGGTCACATTTAAGCTCCCACATAGGTATAAACGCGTGTCCTGGCTTACAGACGTGCTTTGAGACCAATACTGGTATATACAAAGGTTATGGACAGGCCTAGAAAAGACAGTAGGACATGTCCTACCCAATTCCTAATACATGCTCAACTGCTCATCAACAAGGAGTAATAAGAATACGTAATAGGGAAAGGATACCGTGGTCAACAAATGGTGTTGAAGAAACAAACAAAAGAATTAAATTAGTAGAATAGAGAGCCCAGGAAGAATTTCTAAAACTACATTTTCTCTTGTGGAGGAAGGAGTAGGTTAGCTCATCACAGGGACTGAACAGATTAATAAAGGTCAGTAGAAACTGGCCACCAGAACAGAGAGAAACTCTTCTTTGACTTCAAGGGTCCTGTCCCTCCCTGCTTAATTTGCTCCCACAGGAAAGCCCAGCCTGCAGCAAGCCAGCCAGGAACTCAAGCCAAGTGCAGGCGAAGGATCAAGAGTGTCTGCTTGTGACTTATTATACCTGTATGGGTAGTGAATGTCATTTCTTCTTGTCCGGCCTGCCTTCCCACAAAAACAAGGAAGAAACCAATCATTGATCTGAAGTGATCCATACCTCCCAGAGCCAGAAAATTCTTTCACAATTGAGGAGTTTTTGGGCTCCCATGGACCCATGGTTTCTCATACAGTCCTAGTGTCTTGAGTCCCAAGAGCTGGTGAGCTGGAGGTTCCCGCCCACCACCCCCCCAAGGGCAGGTAGGGCCTCCCCTCCCAGCTCACCTCCCACAGGAGGCGCTGAGTAGGGAATTGCACACGTGATGGATGAATGAATAGGTTTACAAGTGAGGATGGACAAGAAAAGTTGTGAGGCAGTAAAGCCTTCCCCCAGTAAGGCCTTCTCCCATGTAAGACCCTAGAAGAGGAAACTCAGATGTGCAAGAGACATCCAGGTAGTAATTCCTTCCCTATTTAAAAAAAAAAAAAAAAATTCAAGAAGGATCAGAACACACGAAGGAGCAATTCAGAGGAACCCCAGTTCACAGTGCCCCAAGAGTGCCCCGCTGCTTTTGGGATCCCTGGGCAGAGAGCCAGGAAGGCACCCCTGAGGGGCAGGCAAAGCAGACGCTACCTCCATCAGCTGCTTGAGGGTGTCATTACAGGCGCCCAGCTTGGTCATAGCGAAAGCCGTGGAGATACTCAGGGGCGACAGGAAGATGTTGTCCTTGGCATTCTTGGAGTTGGCCAGGTGCTGGTAGAAGGTGGTGGCAAAGCGGGAATTGGCCTTTGACAGTTCCCAGACCCGGCGGTTGGTGGCCTCAGGGATCTTTGGCTCTGCACCCTCCTCCCCAGTTGCTTTCTTGTCCGGGACGCGGTAAATGCACATGGGGTTCACGGGAACATCCCTCGGCTTCGCCAAGCAGATGTCTTCCACCGGGCTCCCCTGACAGACCATAGGACCCCAGAGGCCGAGGAGCAGCACAGAGAGAAGACACAGCTGCCTACGGGGGACAGGACATTGGGGTGAACCACACGGAAGCGCCACTCTACCCAGAGCACGGGATTCCAGCCGCCGCAGAGGCCCAGGGCCCCGCCTTGGTGCTGGACACCTAACACGGCCAGGGCGAGGCCCGGACTCCTGCAAGCGCAAAGAAGAGGGAGGCAGCAAGTGGAGCCAGCACAGCCCATGCCCTCAAACAATGAACTTTAACCTGGACCCTAAAGGCTGGGAAAGATTTTGAGCGAGGGGAAGAAAGAGGGAGTGATGCCCACAACATCCGTGTGCTCCCGATCTCCCTTTCGCAGAGCGCAGTCGCCTAAGTCCCACAGTGTGCCCTCGGAGCTCCCTGCCTGTCTTCCTGTGTGTGGCAGGACCCGCATTTCCCTGGGGCCAAGAGCGCGGGGAGTCCCCTGGGTTCCTCCCACGGTATCCTCACCCAGCCAGACCTCAGATCCAGCTCCTTGCCTGCTGGAGTGGGTGCACTCTTGCGTTGCTTTTTGTGTTTCCCGAAATGTGTATGTAATAACAGCGCCCACCAAGGGGGTCATGAAATGAAAACGAAGGTCATCTCACTTTCGAAAAAGTGGGAGCGTGAAGTTGCAGCCCTAATCCCAGGCGCTGGGAGGTGAAGGGGAGGCCGAGCCCTGCGCCACCACTCCTCTCACTTGTCTTCCGTTTCCTGCACATTTGGAGCCACAGATGGAGGCTTGAGGGGGCCTGGAGTCTGCTAAGCACTAAGCAGAGACACGGTGGTGGATGCACCGCGGCGCTTCAGGCCGCCTTGCGGGGCTAATGAAAACAGAGCCATGTGCGGGTTCTGAGAACAGCGCTCTGGACAGCGCTCTGGTGTTTAGCGGAGCTCGGAGCTCGTGGGCAGGGGCAGCGGTGGAAGGAAGAACGGCAGGGGGCCAGGAGGCCCTCCGGGTTCAGTTGGTCCCCCTTTCCATCTGTGGCAGGCTCCTCCGGTGTCCTCTAGATCGCAGGAGCGCCAGTGGTCAGCACGGCCCTCTACCCACCCACAGGAAGGCAGCGTCCCTTGCTCCTTGGGCCCAGAACCCAGGCTGTGGGAGGGATGGGGGAGGGAGAGGACTCGGGGTGCGTCTGTCACTGTGACCACCAGGCTGAGGGCCGGTCTCCTCAAGGTGTCACAGGCCATCCTTGTCAGTTCTTTAAAGCTCAGCGAAGCCATCCAGAGAGTGGAAAGGGAAGGCTCAGCCCTCTTACCTTTTCCCCGAAGCGCTGGAAAACATGGTCGCTGATCTCCGGGGCTGGCAGACGGAGGTCGCGCTGCCCGAGCAGTCAATCCCTCTCACACGGGCTCTGCGCTCCAAATCTGAGTCCTGGAGGCTGGGGTGGGGGATGGATGTGGTCAGGAGGGGAGGGCTGAGGTCAAAGGCTGATGACCACTTCCCAGGGTTAAGCAAAGTATAGAGCCCCGCGTTACTCAATGAGGAGAGAAGTTAAAGGTCAGTCAGGCCTAGGGAAAGCGCGACCCACCTCTGTCAGACACAGTCCCTCATCTCCTCTCCACTTACCGAAAAGGAAAAAGAACATGTTATGAGCTCAAATTTGCTTATGCAATCACCTGACTCAAGAGAACATGGTAGGCCTTTTTTTTTTTTTTTTTTTTTTTTTCTGGGTTAACTCTATAAGGAGGTAGAAATACTGTAGGTGAATATAATAAGCGGATTTTTTTTCATGTATTTAGTACAGGGTCTACAGGGTCTCACAGATCAGACTCGTAGTTATTCTCCTGTGTTCAGCCTCTCAAGCACTGGGATTGCAGGTGTGCGACCCCACGCCCAGTCTTAATAATTGCTTTCTCAGCGTTTCCGGGGGTGAAGCTGGCATGCACGGGGAGTCGAACCCCTGGCCCCTGCGTTTGCCTAAGCAGGCACTTTAGTCCACTGAGTTGTCTGGTGGACCCTTGTAGGTGAATATAAAACAAGTTGAATGTATAGAAATTTCCGTTTATGGCACACACCTGTAATCCTAGCACTTGGGAAACTGAGGCAAGAGGATTGCCATAGTTCAAGGCCAACCTGGGCTACATAGCGAGATCCTATCTCAAAAAAAGAAAGAAAGAAAGAAAGAAAGAAAGAAAGAAAGAAAGAAAGAAAGAGAGAGAGAAAGAAAGAAAAGAAAGAAAGAGAAAGATCGATCTAGCTTTCTACCTCTTTCCGTCTAGCTCTTCCCAATCTCTTGCTCATAGTTTTATTTATGGAGACAGATAGGCAGGCAGGCAGGCAGGCAGACAGACAGACAGACAGACACTACTATCTACTGGGGGCAGGAGGAAGGAGGAGCAAGTTGCTACCTTCAGGCTTCTGAGAGCTGAGGCAGCCAGAGGACCAGGCATATCACAGTAGTCACGACTATGCCCACAGGGCCAGGAATGTAGCTCAGTGGCACAGTCCCTGCCTGGCAAGCATGAAGTTGTACTTTCAATTCCTGGTACAAAAAACTATGGCCCACAAATGGACCAGTCTCCCTTTATCCAGGAGGTGCTGGGAGGCAACACAAGAGAAGGGTGTACACCAAGAATTTCTCTAAGGGCAAGGAGCCAATTGGGAAAATACTTAGCCAAATTCTATGGGGGAATTAGGAGACAGAGGATAGGGCAGATGAAAAACGTACATGCAATTGCATTTTTGTTTTTGTTTTTTTGAGGATGTGCTATTATTGAAACCAAGGGCCTTAATATCATGTGCTATACCCCAGACACTTTTTCTTAGTTTTGAGACAAATTCTCATTAACTTGCCCACTGTGGCCTCTAATTTGTGATCCTCCTGCCTCCTGAGCAGCAGGGATTACAGACATGTGCCACCATGTTAGGTGAATGAAATGCCTCTTAAGAGGAAATAAACCCCATCCAGTAGAAAAGTATGATGTCGAAATATAAGAAATAAAGCCATGCTGTTGGGTTGAGCTGTGGGGGACTCAGGTCAATAATTTCTGACATTGCCAGTTAAATATAAGACCCAATGCTATTATGGGCTACTGGACTCTTTTAGAATATTTTGCTGAGTTTACACACCTATAATATTCAATAACGGAACTTAGGAAAAATGGGGTATACCGATGAATGTCCATTTTGTATATGTGTATTCAAAGAGGTTGGGATAGATATATAGTTGTATTCTCTTAATGAATAGAATGATTTGTTCTAATGGTGTTTGTAAATGGGATCACAAGTCCGCATCTTGTACAGCAATTAACCACTAAGAAGAATATATGCAGTGTATTATTTGTTGAAACTGTCCTTCCGATATGATTTGAAACTGTCTCATTGCTATCTGTTTGTCAATAAAACTTTGAGAAAAAAAAAAAAAAAAAAAGAGGAAATAAACCCAAGTATGCTTGTATGTATTGTTACTTTTACTAGTCATTGGGCCATTAAGCAAATTCAAGCTACAGTATGGACAAAGGGCAGGTTTATTCATCACCCACTCTTTGAACTAGCCAGAAACAGCATCACAAGAATCACTGCAACAGTGGGCAGAGATTACATTTGGAGCCCTCTGTGTGACTGAGAATTTGGAAGTTGCTGCTGCAATTGTAAGGATTGCAGAGAGTTCTTTACTGACTAGTAGGAAATCATGCAGACTGACATCTGGACTGACCCACATCTAAAGTGTTGGTGGCTCAGCAAGATATTGCAGGGAGCCCCACGGATAGTGGAATTGTCCAAAGGATTCCACAGTACTCACAGGCATCCTCGATGAAAGAATAACTGAGCCAGGTGTGTGGTCCAGAGCCTTGGGAGGCAGACAGGAGCACTAGGATTGCAAATCTGAGCCCAGCTTGGGCAATTTAGCAAGTTAGGGAGACTGTCTTAAAGAAATGAGAAGAGACTGGGGGTTCAGTTCAGTGCAAAGGCTTTGAGCTCAATCCCTAGTACTGCAGAGAGACGATTGACCAGGCCTAGTGGCATACAACCACAATCTTCATGGAGGCTGAAACAGGAGAGTGCATGTCTAAGGTCAGCCTGCTCAGACTATGTCTCAAGAAATACAAGAATGCTGCTTAGGCCAGCAAGTACTGGGATTCCATTCAGGGAGCTGAGCCACAACACATATAGAGCACAGAAAAAAATAATTCAGGCTGGACTGAATTTGTAATTTTTCTGCCTCAGTTTCTCCATGGTAACTGAAGGATTTCCATGGGATTATAGGCATGTAAAATCATGCCCAGATTTTGTTGTTGTTTGCTTTTTGAGGTAGGGTCTTGCTATGTAGCCCAGGCTGGTCTTCAACTTGCATGGATTCTCCTGCCTTAGCCTCCCAAGTGCTAGGATTACAGGTGTGCACCACGACTCCTGGGTGCTAATTTTTCTTAAAGTACCACCTGGTTGTTTTCCTTTGGATAGTCTCTTTCAAGTCAGTTTGAATTTCTCTCAAATTCTAGGTCCCAGATATGAACCCTGGAGCTATCACCTTTTGCTTTGTCTATCTATCTATCTCTCTCTCTATCTATCTATCTATCTCTCTCTCTAGATCACACCCCCCCCTTTCTTTCTTTCATCTTTTTTGGACAGGGCCTCCTCTGTAGTTCAGGCTGGCCTTGAATTTACTATGCAGTCCAGGGTGGACTTGAACTCATGGTGATCCTCAGCCTCCCGAGGGCTGGGATTATAGGTATGCACCACCACACCCAGCTAGGCCTAGTACTTTTGGGATACTGGGATTGCACATCCTGGAAGAAAAGGGTCTAGCTTGTATTTTGGATCAAGAAGCAATTACTTGCCTTAACCTAAACCAGCAGTGCCAGCATACCTTAAAGGAAGACATGGTCATGGGACAGTAAAAGGACAGTGGGAGAAGCTGTCACTGACATCTCTGGCTGCTGGGCTGCCATCCACATCACAGCTCTGTAGGCTTCTGAGGGATCCAGTTGGTCTTTTTGCCAGGAGTCTTTATACCAGCCTAGTGTCTGGACACTCTGTGCAAGTTCTCTTGTATTTCACTGTCTAGACTTTAATGTCTTCAAATTCCTTAGTTCACCTTCTACTAGTTGGATTATGAAAGAGAAAAGCCAGGTGTGGTGGCACACACCTGTAATCCCAACATTCTGGAGACTAGGGCAGGAGGATTGCCATGAGTTTAAGGCCAGCTTGGGCTACACAGTGAGTCCAGGCCAACCTGAACTATACAGTGAGATGTTGCTTGAGAGAGAGAGAGAGAGAGAGAGAGAGAGAGAGAGAGAGAGAGAGCGCACAAGGGAGGGAAGGGGAAGGGAGGGGAGAGGAGTCCTTTCCTATACTTGTCTTTAAGAGTTTACCTTGGGCCCATGGCAAAGTCTTGTACGAGTCCATCTGGAGGCCTGGAGCCCTCGACAATGTCTCATGCAAATCTGTACTAAGGATCTGTGCTGGAAAAGCCCAAGTATCTGGTGGAAGCTAGAAAGTGTGCACCAGTGGGATAAAGCAATCTGTGCCACCAGGCTGAGAGATCTGCGACACTCAAGGGACCAGAGCTCCCCTGAAGAGAACTGCAGCCATCCTCAGGGATAGCAGACCCAAGCTTCTCTGGTAATGACAGCCGAGTCCATATCAAGAAAGCCAGCACAACAAGCTTTTCCAGGAGAATCAATAGCTCACCACCATCTTCCCCTCCAATTGTTTTTTTGTCCTCTTGGCAGCAATCTTCAAGTGGGCCTTCCACACCCAGCACCACGCTGACTCAGTTTAGCTGGGTGTTCCAAGTTGCCCATTAATCCACCACACCAGCATGTCATAAATATTCCCATTTTTAAAAAATATTCTATAAAGTAGAGTTTTGTTTGTTCTAGGTAGTGGAGTTTGAATGCAGGGCCTCTGCACTAAGCTACACCTCCACCTTTAATTCCCCCCCCCCCATTTTGAGGTGGGGTCTGTAAGTCCAGAATTTGCTGGCTAGGTTTGAATTTTTGATCCTCCTGCAGTGTTGAGATTACAGGCATGTGCCACCACATCCAGCTCCTATAAAGTGTTTTAATAATTGTGGGGTTGGTTTTGTTTTTGAGACAGGTTCATGCTTAAGTAGTTCAGGTTCCCTTTGAGCTATGCAGCCCAGGTGGCCTTGAACTTGATAAAATCTTTTTGTCTCAGCCTTTTCAATGTTGTGGTAGTGTACCACCACACCTGGCATAAGTACAAATTTAAATATAATAAAAATGTTCTACATTTTTAATAGAAACTTCTAGTCAATACTGGAACTTGAAGCAAACTGGAGCACTTTTCTCAGATAAAAATTTATTTGGGGAGCTGGGGAGATAGCTCAGTAGTCTAAGTACCTGTCTAGCAAGCGCAAGGACCTAGGTTCAATCCCCAGCACCACATGCCATGCCAGCCCCAGAACCCTGGGTGAGCCATATCAGCCACGAAAACTGGGCATGGTGGTGCACACCTGTAATTCCAGCGCTGGGAAGGCTGAGACAGGAGGATCACTACCAGT